TCCAGGTAAAGGTGCTATTCAGCCAGAGATGAATTTGCTCCCAAAGGCTTGAATCTGAGGTCTTCTATGTTGGCAAAATGCAGCAGCATGAAGCACCCATATATCGCTATGATTCAGACATCCCAGAGGAATGTGAAATGTAGGATCAAAACAAGTTTTCCCATCAATGGTTTTATCAATACCATTTGGCGCTGGGCTGGCGGGTGATGCAGAAACACGAGACAGTGCTCTTACACCAAGGACTTGTTCGGCTCATGGGCGATTCTCACCTTTACACCGGCTCTTTAGGACTCAGGAAAATGCCTGGAAGTAAATGAATATAAAGTCACCTTAGTTAGAAAGCCGCGTATGCTTCTTTTGTGACCAGAGGGAAGAAATTAATGAACAGAAAGATGGGATGAGTCGGGGGCTGGGGAGGGACGGGGCCTGCGGGAAGGCAACCTGCACCCTCAGCTTTTAGAGCCATTTCTAGAAGGATAGATCACAGGCTGGAGAACCACAAAAAAAAGAATACATCCTAGTGATTAAAGAAACTGCGTGTGAAATACCACCGTGAAGCACATATAAATAAGAGCAAAAAGCTGGGATTTGCCTCCAGTTGTTCATTCTCCACTTTGAACACCGTGGCGTTGGAGCACGGAGATGAAAGCGAGGAAACGTGCAGGGCAGAGTTCATCGTTCACCTCGCAACCCAGGGCAATGAAATACAAACCCAAGGGTTTCCTTCAAATGCCAAAGGCAGCTTGGTCGCGGCCCCTCTCCTCCCGCTCCGGTCCCCCACCGCATCCAGGGCTCAGACATCCGCGCGGCTGGAACTCGGGAGCAGCGAAGCTGAAGTCAAAAGAAAGGAAGAAGCTGCCTGTAAGGTCTGGAAAAAAAACAGATTATGAGCAATTACACATTTACAATGCCAGTCAAAGAAGCTAATATATCTCATGCTGAAGTGGCCAGCGTGAGAGTTGTGCTAGATGAGATAAGCAGCAAAAACGTACGTTTCTTACTTAAACTAAAAGCTTGGAGGGTACAATAAAACACTGCAGTTCCACCCTGGTTTTAATGAATGGATTTTCCCCTCTTGCACACTGACATACATTTGATATAGTTATTTATCCTATATATTTCTTGCGGCATATTTCCCAGGAGACCTTGTTTATCTCGCTCATAAGTACATGATGGATGTATGGTGCTTTGGATAAATGGTATCGCAATCAGATATTTTTATGGATATAGGCAAACCGGGTTATTAACAAAGGAAGGGCAGAGAGGAACCAGTACGCAAAAGAAAATAGCAAATGATTGATGACAATACACCTGAGGTTGCAAGGTGCAGACTCCAGATAACCCGCTAACAGAAGAGCAGATAAGGGCAGCGCTTGAGACAGAGCTGTTTTCTACCTCGGGGTCAATGTCACGCCGACTACCCGAACGCCTGCGTCCCTCCGAGCCTGCGATTTTAGAGCAGGCAAAAAATTCCCCAGCAGGAGCAGCTCAAAAATTATTGCCTTCCTTTTTATACAGCGTAATGCAGAGGCACGGGAAGATACAAAACATTGAAGCCTACCCCAAAATACTTGAAACAAAAGAAACACCAGATCCTGGGGAGTTGGGGAGGGACTGGCATCTGTTGTGCTGCTGTATCTTGCCCAACACAGTGGGGCTCTTAGTGCTGCACTACAAATAAGTAAAAAAAAAAATGTTCATAATGGTAATAATTACTGTCTTCATCTCCAGTTTTGTTGATTTACACAAGCAGTGGGGGGCTAAAATAGGATATAAAAAGAAGACAAATCTGCAGGCATAATTTGACCTGAAATCTGGCAGTTCTCTTGGGTGCTTGCTGGGCCTTTTAGCCATCAGGGCAGAAGAACTAGGAGTTGGAAATCTGGGGACTGTTAACACCTCTGCATGGACTCGCTGGGTCGCTTTCAACAAAATCTCTCCATCTGGGAGAGAACCTGGGGAGGAACAACTATATCCATCTGACAGGGAGAAACTGGAGCACTGCAAAGCAATTTAGCAATACTACGACTACCACAGGGTTTGCAAGTCCCCAGCCACAGCCCAGACCATGCTCCAGCCTCACAGGTAAATGTAAAGTGTCCACATGATAGGAAAAGACAGGGAGCAAGTGAATCCAGGCTGGAAACCAGTCTGATTTACCCACTCCTGATGGGAGATTTTAGGGGCTGCAAGAGTCACGTTCGTTTTGTCCTGGGAAAGCTGGATGTGACAATTACAACCTACCTAAAACACCTTTTCAGGAGCTTCCAAGCCATGCTGACCAGAGCCAGCACACATCACAGCAGCAACGTCTTCCAGCAGAGGGGTGGAGAAAACACAGCTTCTCCATGTTTACTGAGTTTCTTTTCTTCACAAGCAAATTGCTTGTGAGACAAGTGTCTTAACCAGAGAAATGGGCTAGAGCAGCGCAACCAGTGCTGAACATCCATGCGTCGTGCCTGCAGCCTTCCCGAGTTTCACACGTGAGTTATTAATCTAAACTTACACAGAAAGCAGAAGTTAGAAACACCAGTAAAAGATAGTACCAAAATTTAATGCGTACCAAAATGAAACAATAAAAGCTTCAGCATAGTATTTTTTATTACCCTCCAGGTCATAATAAATCATCAGTTAGCTGAATCAAAGCACAAAATCACAAGGACAAGATAAAGTTATGTCCTTTATGGGAGGCTTCTAAGCCTATAGGCTCAATATTCAACCACTGCTGAAACCATACTTCAGTTAGACCATCCCACCGATCGTGAAGATTGTCAAATCTCTCCTCTGTTCTTCCAAAAAAAGCCCCAAATATCCAAACCCAGGCAGTGCCATTTCAAAAAATCTGGGCTTTTCTGATGAGGGAACAGTCCAAATTCAGGTTGCTACCTTTGGCTCTGCTTGCCGCAGCAGCGGATAGACACACCATGACTATGTGTCAGAGTGCTTACTCCAGCTTGATGGTGAGGAAAGGTGGTTAAATTTACAAAATCCACTCTACTCGTCTGAGAAAGTCCCTGAATCAGATTACATTGATGTTTCTCGAGAAGGGCAGGTAACCACACTGCAGTACGTGTCCTTGCAGGCACCCATGAGCCATGACCGGGGTCCTCTGCTGCAGAGTTTCTACAGTGTCCTTTTAAAAAGCTTTGAAGAATATCATACTTAGTATAAGCAGTGACCTCTTTGACCATGACCCAAAACGAACCTCTTGGCAAATTTCTATCACACAAAAGATATCACAGTTACCCAGTGGATAACGGAAATGTTTTGGGTTGGCAGCTCAGTTACGAAGCCCATAATGAGTACAGAGCACTCTTCTTTTACATATGCAATGTGCTCTTCCTTTCTTAAAGCTGTCACAGAAATCTTGTCGATAAATGTGGAGGCGGCATGAGGGCTACAACTAAATGCATGTTCCATTGTTCAGATGTCAGAGAGCCTGAGTTGTTCTTACAAGAATTACATTTAGACAACGTCAGTCTGAAAGGAGAGAAACTGGTGATACCAACCCATCATCACCAGCATTGCTAAAAACCCTCAGAAGAGTGTTTGACCTTGCAGATGTTAGAAGACTCACAACACTTATGAACAACTTTGCACTGGCGGAATCGTTTTCCTGGAGCAAAGCTGTTGCTGGTTATCTTACAGCATGCCCCACCAAACGTCTTTGCAAAAATCATTAACCACCAACGAAGCTGTAGGAGGCAAGTCCCTGGAACGATCCAGGCTCAGGTCAGTCACGAAACAGTGCACAATATTACAAGTTCCTCTTTTGTTTGACTTGGGTTGCGATGCACGGCTCCTGGTACATTAACAAAGGGCAAACCACTTGCTTTGGCTCTTTTTATAGCAAACTCTCTCCATCTCACATGTCCTAACCTGAGTGGACTAGCAATACAGCTGCTGAAACACAGGCTTTCATGGGATCAGACGGATGAACCACAGTCTGTTTGGGGCAGAGGCAACTACTAAGGGCAGAAGACCTCAGGGGATGTGCAAAGACTTTTATTCCAAAATGTTCCACTTATTCTGCCCATGACAGAGAATTACTGAAAAGCTGGCTGCTCATCCTGCTCCATCGTGGAGTGACAGCCCTTAGTCAGCATGCAAGAGGTTTGGCCTCTTCTGCAAGCGTAGCCATCTCTCCTGCCTTCCAATATCCCCAAGCAGCAGAAGGAGCAGCAGCAGCTTTCCAAGTCCCCATCCCAGTAGCATCCCTCTGTCCTTCCCTCCCCTTCCCAAGGAACGAGAGCATCGGGCGTATCTGAGCGTACCGGGGTGTATCGGATGCTCTCAGTGCATCTGTTCTACTTTAGAAATGCACAGGAGGAAGCTCATCGCTGCGGCAAGAGTACCACTGCTACATAGTCTAACAATGCTTTGGTGTCACCAGACTGTTCTTCACAATTCGTTTTTCGCTCCTTCAAGACAATTTCTAATACAACAGACAATTTAAGTTAAATACAATAAATTGGGAAACTGGGGTAGTGAGGCACAGCGGCTTTAAATGTCACATTAGATACTATTGTGCTCGTTGAGATTTAGACTTTAATATGCTGTACTTCGCTCCACACGACACAGCTGTCTTCACAGAAGCTGCATATTAGCGCACATTCTGGTGTACGTAAGATCAAACAGTATTTTCTTATCTCAAAGGAACCTTCAAAAACAAGACAGTAAAATTTAAAATCGTGCAGCTACCAAATAAGGCAGGAGATAAAGTTTGTCTCAGTTAGCCCATTGCAATTAAGACAGAGAAAAGTCAAAATACTAAGAACAGTAAGCACATTCAATCCCACGGGACAACTGCAAAGCATGTCCGAAGTGTGATTCATAACACACACCCAGCTCCCACTGCCTTCTGAAATGTTTCCAACTTCAAAGCACTTGGATGAGACCCATAAGGAGAGTGAGGCCAACTTAGCCAGCCATCAGGTAACATCTTCCCACTCAGTTTGCAAACTGCTCATCAGTTTTGCGTAAGTTCCTAATGATTCCCTCTAACAAGTAACTGTCTCAGCATCTGGCCCTGAGCATGATGAACCACCATTTTGCGGCGCAGGGTTGTTGCACTGTCGTCTCCTTGTTCGTTGACCTCCTGAACATGGAGACCAGCTGGCCCAGCAACCCCAGTTTCCATTAATGACAGCATCTGGAAAAAAAACCCAAAGCCAGAAAGGACTGTCAGAATAAAGCAGCTCTTTCCATGGGAAGAGCTGTCAGCTTCCATGGATCATATTTAAATACAAACAGCTCTGTCCCTATCCACACCACCAACAATATATTTGAGTCATTAACAATGAGTGATTGTTTTGAAGATGTTAATTCTCTGTTCAGCATTTCTGGTGTTTGTTCAAACTACACTTTATGCAGCAAGGACAAGGAAAAAAAAAATCAATTAGCTTTATATTTACTTGTAGGATGTTTCTCTCTCTGACTTAGTCCGAGCCTAGGTAAGAAAGACAGCAACTAAACTCGTATCAGCCACATTTTGAGGTGCTAGGGGAAACGTTGACGTTCTTCTTCAATGAACAACAGCTTGAATATTCAGCTTTCTACCCATTGCTTTTCCTATTACACCATTTCTTCTGGACCCTGAGCATGTGAGTGACATAAACTCAAAATCTTGAGAATCATGGAACCGAACACGAAGGCAATACATAAAAGGAGGAAAGGGGGGTGAGAAAGGAAGTTACATGTTGACAAGTGGATGGAAGTGAGTCTTTGGGAGGGTCAGATGTGATTACGCGTGCGGTAAGCAGACTGGAACAAGGTGTAAGTGACTCCACAGTTTAAGGCTTCAGGGACTTGCTTTGAAACACCTACAAAATTGACCCTCTGCTCAGTGAAATCTTGGCTTAAAATGTATTTCAGCCTGGCTTAGTTAGGACACAGTCATGCAGAATGAGAACTGGATAAAAGATTGTAAACAAAGCGCAATGATAAATGCAGTGCATCAAATTGTGGGATGGTGCCAGAGCTCTGGGTGCCTGAGATCTGGTATTATTTAGCATCTAAATTAGTGAGCTGGAAGAAGTAAACAAAATGATTAAATTCACAGATCATCCTAAACTAGAAGGAGTTAAGAACATCATTCAGGAGACAGCAGCGATATAAAGTGACCAAGAAGCATTGGTAAATGCTTCAAAACAACGTAATAAGATTTTAAGACTAAAATGCATGGTAGTATATCTGGGGGAAAACAGTTTGCAACATACCGGCTGTATCAAAGGGAAAAACTTAGGAAACAGAGCTGTTGGAGAAGGCCTGAGGCTTATCATGGATTGTAAATTAGGTAGGAGTTCATATTTTGATATAATTGCAAGGTGCGTTTATGCAGCTTTGAACTGCAAAAGTAAACCCACTTCCTCATGAGTACAAAGAGATTTAGAAGAGGGATGGCAAAGTATATCTGTCACCCTTGCAGGACCCTAACCCCTTGTGCATTGGGCTGGGCAGAGCGGGGACAGCCAGCGCTGGGCATTACTCCCCAGCCATCAGCTGACATCCCCGGACACTCCTAAATACCGCTGGGACTGTCTCCTCGGACTTGGGCTCCTCTTACCTTTCCTCTCGCTGATCTCACAGGCAGTGCCGCTGTAGCCGAGGGGACATAAGCATTCACACACGGTTCCTGAAAGTAAGCAGGGACGGTGGGATTAGAGACTTCAAGCCACATTTCCCTGCAGACACCCATTTCTTTTCAGTGCTTCATCTTCGGTAAGGAAGGGACAGCGGGTGAAATGATATCAGCATTTTTCTCCGATGGTGAAAGTATAAAATAGCAATAAAGCAGGGGAGCTGTGACTACCCTGCCGCCCCTCTCGCCTCCCCAGCCATTTGTTCCTGCCGCTGCACTGCGGCTCAGCCTCAGCTACGCCAGTGCAGTAATTCAGCAACCCAGGGTACCACACAGTCCCCCTGCTCCTCTCCAAAAGAGACAACTTGGTAGAGCTGAGGGGGAGCAAACTGCAGCATCAGGAATGAGCACCTGGGACAGGAGCATCCCAGCTAGCCTTTGTGCCAGAGGAAAAGTCAGCGTAACCCCACGCCAGCTGCCCAGGACCGCGGTGTGCATCCCACGGCAGGATCCCGGAGGAGAGCTCCCACTTAGGAAAATAACGGTCATTTAAAACCTCTTATTGAGAAGATCTTAAATGAAATGCTAACCTGACACAGCTCCTACAAAGTTCTTTAAACAAGGGTAATCATGAGACGAATCCTTTAAGTGGTACAATCAACTAGCTGGTACCTGAAGCGATCGTTTCTGCATTAAATACACTTAGATGATAACGATTCTCGTCAGGGTTTTTGCAGACGCAGATTGGAATTAGGCACTTGACAAAATGGTCCCTTTGTTAGAAGCTCTCATCACATCATATATCTCTGTTTAGGCAGTGCGGTTTTCATTCAATTTGATTATTTTTCCCCTTCATTTTTAAATCACAGCCTGCTTACAAAGGAGGACAGCTTCTCTTAGAAATGGGGGGAGGTGATGGTGATAACTGCTTGGCACTTACATGGTGCTTTTCATCTTCAAAACACTTTTACAAACACTAATTAATGCTGAGACAGTAGTCACTTCTCTAGGAGGATGGAAGCAATCTTAAAAGCAAAGGAGGAGACTTAAAGATGGCACGGGGTTTTTTTTAATGCATAATTGAGATGGAACAAATTCTTCCACAAAACTGATACAGATGGTCACTCTTATTAACAAGGCTCATCCCTCGACTTTACTGTCTTTACTTACCGGTGGCATTCTACCAACAGACCGACTTTAAAAAAAATATTTAATTACCTGAAAGAGAAATGACAGGAGAAACTAAAGAGCAGATTACTCGCCAAACTTCCTTGCTCCCCACAGATTCCCAGCTCATTTCTCTTAGAGGACAGAGAAGAGGTGCAAATTCCTTCTACCTTGCAGAAAGGGGATCCCATTGCCGTGGCACGGAGCACAGCGACAAGAACTGGTCTCCAGCTGAAACTCATCAAGAGCCCGTCGCAGATTTTCTTTTATTGCCATTGCATTAGCAAAATCTGTTGGAGTCACCAGCTGATACAGCGGCTCTGCCTAAAGGGAGGGAAGAAACCGCATTCGTTTCCAAGTTCAAGATGGTGTGAGCACTGCAGGGCTTGGTGGGAGCACAGCTGGCGAGGGAAATGAAGGCCTTGTGGTACGGGCTCCAGGTTTCCCATTAGTAGTGCCTTAAACCTCGTGAACAGGAATGTCAGGATGTCAGGAATTCTTACAGGGATCCTCCTCTCGGTTTACAACACCAAAGCTGTTGCAAATGCATAATAAAATACAACAGCCATACCATTAGTTGACCAATGGGCAAAGTTTCACAGAAGTTTCATTAAATCCCTTCTCATCCATTTTCCTATGGACATTTTTAGATCAGATTTGCTCAAATGTACATTTCCTGAGTGCTCTGTTACTCTGATTTAAAAAGGATCCCCCTAAAACCACCCACAAAAATCTCCTTCCCTCCTTGGACAGCCACACAGCACAGCCAGAGCCACATGGTCACATTTGCACCTTCAGCTTAACCACCATTTCAGGGCTGACATCTACCTTTATGAAGCCAAGATAAGGGTTTCCACTGCCTTCACAAGGGAGAGGATTGTGATCTTCATCTGCAAACACCGCAGATGGGGTCGGTGGGAGAAGATAAGGGGGTGCACAGCATGGTGAACGTGCAGCAGGGACCAAGGAGAAGGTAAGGGGGGGCACAACACGGTGAATGTGCAGTAGGGACCAAGGAGACTTCGGCTCGCTCATTTATTTTTTTTCTGAAAACGAAGGAAAGTTAAAGTGTGGTCTCAATATTGCCAGTCACCCACTGATGCCAGTGGGACGATATGGACACACGTCATCAGCGGATCCATCCCAAATTCCCATCCTTGCTATAGAGATGCCTGCCATACAGGCCACGGCAACACAGTAAGCATGAAAGATCACCCTATTGCTATCACGGGCTCAAGCTACAAGAAATAGAAGAATGTTTCAATAAAAAAATGCTCATTTCCTGCTGCTGTACATTCACTCTTCATCAATTATCTGTGATCCATACTTTGCTTTTTGAATTCAGATCATACAAATGAAATACACTAAGAGTGACCTGCCAAGTCCCTTCAGCAGATGATTTATGAACTGATGTGCTTTACTTTTCCCTAACTAAGCATTCTTGGGCTGACATTTAGTCACACTCTGCTGGTACTTTTGATCTTCAAGCCCCACAGGGATATTGGTATGGAAATGAAGGATTATAGATACCAAATCCAAATTACATCCGTCTGGGGTTTTCCACTGGGCAGCCCGGTCACTGATGCCAGGCAAGACAAAGAACGTCGCAATTTCTTGTGGGAGAATTTTCTGTACGTGGGGTCTAGCGCGGAGGGTTGCATTTCTGTTGTCTCCTGCCCAGAGACCTCCCAGTGCATTTCTGGAAGGTCAATCCACAGCACACCAGGGGCTTGGGAAAGCCACCTCCGCTGCAGCAAGCGCCGGACAGGCACTGGCTGTATTTCCAAATTACCGATTTTTGCTTTGCTTCATGTTTTTTAGCATTCACCTCTTTTTTTAAATGAAAAGTCAGAATTTTGAATGAGAAACAAACACCTTTTACAAATAGAAATATTTTTGCCTAAAATTAAATTTTACAATGAAAACCAATTATACAATAATAAAATCAACTTCCACCACTACCAGTCCAAACTCCTGCTTAAAAGGATGTTCTCTTGCACCTTTGTACTATTCACTCAGAGTGAACTTATTTTGACATTAAAAATGAGGACACAGAATGCCTACATACTTCCGCTCACTTTTTACTTTTACAGTGCCTTGCATTTTTAAAAATCTTCAAGATCAAAAAACCTTGACTCTTCAAAACCTAACTCGTATTTTTAACGTTTAGCTAAGCTGCACAAACATCCAGGCATGCATGGTGAACTACTTGACCTTCTGAACCAGAAAGAATTGTTGCTAAACAGTCACTGATGCTGACAGAAGACAGGAGAAATTTCAAGAAAAAAAAAGTCCTTATAAAATATATGCTGCCAGCTATATTTTTGTAAGTGATCCATTGGTAAAACAGAAGGTGGATCGTCTGATCTGCTTGGTAGGCAGCAAGCAATCACATCTGCACAGCCAAGTTAGAAGGGTTAAAGCTGTTTACTTCACGTACTCCCAACCACATCCCTTTTAACGCATCACACCTTTGATTTTCCGAATACCCAGTCTTAGAGAAACCATGTTGCACAATACAGGTCTATTATTTGCCCTAGAAATTTCCCTGTTTTTTTTTTCTTTCTAAATCCTGTTTATTTAAACACAGAGTTCTCCAAGGCGCTCGGCTAAGTGAGGCTGAACGAAGCGACGGATACAGTACCTTTAGCTTTATGATTTCAGGGTTGTACTGTACAGCATCTCCCCACTCCTGCATGAGTGCAGCCGTCGGCAGGTCTTTGTAAGCCAATGTGGTAATGTGTTCGCTTGCTCCACCACGAACAAGGACGATGAAATCTTCCACATACTGTTTTTTGGAGGTGCTGTCTGCAAAAATGCATTCAGAAAGTGGCCAGCTCTGCTCAGGTATGTCTTTGTGGATTGCAGATGAGATACAAACTCACAGCAAAACACCCCTGTATATGACCCATCCCACTGAGACAGAAAAAGGTCACAAGTGCTTCACACCTGAAGCCTGGTTTCCCATGCTACGGTGTCCTGTGCCCCTCCTGCTCCCTTGCAGCAATACCCCTCCCCTCCTGCACCCTACCTATATCTCTCCTCTTAAATTTCTTCCCTATGGTTATAAGCTTGCAGGCCCTTCCACAGCCCAAAGCTCCTCACCGTCGTGAACGTTGCCTGTTCTCCTCCTCACATCTTCAGGTGCACCCTCCTCCCACTGCAACTCCCCCAGCTTCCCGTATGTCCCCTGAGGCTCCCACACCACCATTACCTCGCTGCTTTCCCCATTTGGGCTTTTTTGGGTGCAAAAAGTGGCATGCTGGGCTGCTCGGCTGAGAGGTGGGTGGATTGGTAACACAGCACCAGCCAGGCAGGTAATGGTTCATCTGTCCCTGCTTTTCCCTGGGACACTGAGCAGATACTTCTTCTCTACCCAGCAAAGAAAATCTTGCAAAAAACCAGGCTTTGAGACATCCGCACCTCTGTTAAGCTTGGCTGGGGTTAGCCAGCAGACTCAAAAGCGGCTGTGAGGGAGTGGGGAAATACTTCAGGCAGGCAAGATCACAAAATCTTCTTTTTGCTACGACAAAGGCTAGAAGTTAAACAGCGGAAGTGTTTCATGCTTACCTCCAATCTCTTTTAAAAGGGATTTACAGCCGGCTTCAGTTATTCCAAGCTTCAGATAGACACCAGCAATACTTGCACCAATGTTAAAGCCATGCTGTGCACATTTCTGGACATCGCTCAGAGAATAACCTTAAATACACACCAAAAATGTGCAGTGTTTTAATACAACTATTCAATGTTTTATGTCCATATACACAGAAAATGGGAGTTGATAAGTTTTTTTTCCTTTGGGAAAAAAGATGAGATGAAGAAGCCTTTTTTGGGATATTTAACAGCTCTATATGAAATTAAATGAAATCTCTACATTTTACAGAACTCTGAAACCAAGTGCAAATGCAAGGTAAATGCTGGAAGAGGAGGCTTTTAATTACCAACTCAGCTGTACTGGGTTACACAGAGCTGCAATGGGTGGGAGTTTGGCCTGTGACTTGGACAACCAAATATCTTTGACAAAGGACTGCCCACCACCCATCCCCATCATCAGGAGCCAGGCTTTCTAAGAGTAACAGATGAAGTAGCTTTTCCTCCCTTTGCTAGCTCACATCTCCAATTCTTTGCTGCCAGAAGAGCCTTAATTGTTTCATGGAAGTTTCTCCATGAAGCTCTACTATAATTTTTTTCCTGGCATATAAGAATTTGCCCTAAAAATCTGCAAATCCTTCATATGTTCTTCCCCAAAGTCCTTCTCCAAAATCCTTGCTGTCCTGACACTCAAGAATATTTAAGCAGTTACCACAGTGAAGCACCAGATATGACACCCAAGTATCTCTTCTTTCTCTGCTTTGTTGTTGTAATCCCCTACGTTTCCCTGAATTCTTTACTTTTTTAGTTAAACTCTTGTGTTGATGATACAAATGTTTACATGAGCTCACAATGCAAGTGTCACTGTATGGCTGTCCTGTTCTTATGCTCTTCTCATACATCCGATATTGGCCAGTTTCTAGATCAGAAAAGAGGATGCACTGAGTTTTGGGTTGGTGCAGGATGGTCCCTCTTAATGTTCATAGTCCATATGCACCTGAAGGCAGGAACCACTATCTTATGACACCCTTGTACAGCACAATCCAGACCTCTCTCCTGCCGTCTTTCCCACTGTCGTGGTTTAACCTGGC